GAGGATCGGAGTGTCACGTTCCGACACCAGGATAGTATAAAGAATGAATCTTGAATTATGTTGATATACTCAATTTAATGAACCTGTTTCCCAAATGAGTATGGTGTGGAGGCTTGAGTCCTCATAGATGTGCTTGGGTTGTGCCCAATGGTTATGGTACTTGTTGTTGTCACCTGTTAAGTGTTATGGTTGATTTTATGTTATTATTCGATATATATTGCTTTCTATTTTGAGTTGGCCGATGATATCTACTCAGTACTTGTGCTTGTGCTGACCCCTACTTGTAAGTTTTCTCTTTGTTATTTGTGGAGTGCAGCAAACGTACCGTCGTCTTCAACTCAACCGCAACTCTAGCCAGACTTCAGTATAATCAGATTTCAGGGTGAGCTATTGTTCCTAGCTCGGACTGGATTCTTTCCTTCGCGTCTTGATGTCTTGAAGTTCGGACACGGACCATCTCTTTTACTTATTTTAGCTTCTTAGATACTCTTAGATTTAGTAATTTGAGGATAGATGTTCTTGTGATGATGACTTCCAGGTTTTGGGGATAATGATAAGTTTTGAGTTTTAGAAGTTAATTATTGATTTCGTTAATGAGTTTTAAGTCTTTCGCATTATTTTCTGTTAATTATGTTTGAAACGTTGGGGTTTAGATTGGTTAGTTCGCTCACACAGGAGAGTAAGTGTGGGTGCCACTCGCGACCCGTTATGGGTCGTGACAAACGTATTGATAAATATTGATAGTATTGATATGTTTATCAATATTAATAGTATTGATGGTTAATAATGTTAACTATACTTAGAGTCCTACTACAATATCTATTACTAATATAATAATAATAATGCAATTATAAATAATCTAAATCCTAATTGTACTATAATTCTAATAGTAATATAATCCTAGTCGTAACATAATTATAATTGTAATGTAATTTTAGAAGAAATATAATTAGTCTAATCTTAATGCGACTCTAATTCTACAGCAGTAATGTAAACTCGTCGGTCAACTTTGTTAGACCTGTTCCTTTGACATGTTCCAATCTTCAGCTTCCTTTTTTTATCAACACTTGCTGCAGATAGGTCATTCAACTGCATTGGTTGTTTCTTTAACATGTTTCAGTCGTCAGTTTCCTTCCTCTTCAACATGAAGCTGAGTTGTAACAATTTGATTAAATTCAATAACTTTAATTTAAACATTATATTTATATCATAAATTCATTTAAACGTTATATTGATACACTAAGAATTTTGAATCACATCACTCGCCCATCATCAAGTTATAGCCAGGGGCGGAGCTTCCTTGTGATCAGGGCCCATTCGAACCTCCTTTGATGGAAAATTATATTGTTTATATGTTTAAAAGAACCTCCTTTGATGGAAACTTATATTGTTTATATATGATTAAAATATTTTTTGATTTTGAATCCGATTCAACTAATTTGTATGTCTACTTTATATTTTGAACCCCTTCGTCAAAATTACGATTTTGCAATTAGTTATTGTGTTAACTTTTACACTTAGGTGTTTTTGATTACTTACTCGAAATTCATGTTTATTTGAAAAAAATATTTAAGCAAAGTGACAATATTATTCCGATTATTACTACTCTCAACTTGTGTAAAATAATTATTTCTAATGTATTTCTTGTTTTAGATCCCTTGCACAAGATTCCAACCAATGAACATTTCGATAATTGGATGCATGTTGACTTATTATAAACTTTAATATACATAAATAATTGATGTATATTTGAATAGGACTTGCGTTATTATTTTATAATACTATTTGACAATATGAATATATACAAACATACGCTTTTCTGTAATATTCTTGTTCGTCGTCAATTAAATGATCATTAATTAACTTTCTCTAACTAGTTGACAATAATATTTTTTTTCCCTTTAAGACAAATTACACTTTGTGCTAATAATTAATATGTGTAACATGTGTGTTGTGTAGCTAGCTAGGGTGTAGTCAAACCAATCATTGATGTTGTGTACACTAATTTTATTTAAAACGTATATTTTAGACGTCAATTTATTTATATTGTATCAATTGAACAATCCAACTTACAATATGATTATTTAGATATTTTCAAAAAAAAAAATAAATTTACGTCAATGTAATATCGGGTATGGTGTCTAGATGTGTGTTTATAAAGTTCAATTATTTAATTATCAGTTCAGATCAAATTAAAATATATATATATCTATGTTACTATGTATTATGCATGTTTACGTTAATTTGAATGATTGAGTTTTTTTGGGTATGTACGTAGTACTGCAAATTGGTACGAAACAACTTGGAAAATCAACCTATCATTGTATTAATTAAGACATATTATTGTATTATATACCAATTTGGTGAATATAATTAAGTTAATACTTGATTCATTGGAGTAGTATTTTGTCTCTTAATTTTAGCTGTTATATAAACTATATATATCACTAAGTAACGTGGCCCCTCCATTATTTTTATCAATGGTGGCAAATTAAATGGACTTCACATTAAGAAACAATAATTAGAGAGGACATGTGAAGTACAAATCAATTCACATATCATAGCTAGAATAATGTGGAAGATTTGAAATATAGTTTAACACTTTTGAAGAATCACTTTCATAGTCCTTTCGATGGGTTCTTAGAGGTCGATTCACTTTTGATAGATTGATTGAATAAATATTTTTGTTGATATATCATCGTGTCTCTATTGAAAATAGTTTTTCT